ACACGTGCACACAGAAGTTATAGGGAAAATTTAAAACAAATCTTTACCACATATTATTGGCCCAAAATGGTCCAACATTTTAAAGAACTCGTAAGACTTGGTGGGATTTGTAATAGAAATAAATACGATAGTAAGCCTCAAAAGGTATCAATTGACGGGGCACTAATTCCCAAGAAGGAGAGTTAGTCCATCTCGACATTTTTTTCGCGCAAATACTTAAATTCATTATTTGTATTGATGCCTATTCAAAATATACCATATGTTCATTAAACAAATTGAAGATAAAACAAAACTCGATGAAAAAGTTTTGGAACTTTTACAGTCATTCCAAGAGGCAAAACAAATTACCTTAGATAACGAACCAGGGTTCTCGACACCTCAGTTTAAGCCATGGAACGAATGGGTATTAAAATTTATTATTGTGACCCACAGCATAGTTCAATTAACGGACAGATAGAAAGAGTTCATTCAACGATAATCGAAATAGCAAGATGCTTAAGACAGGAATTTAGTATTGTAAACGATTTAGAGGTTATATTCAGAGCCGTTCAACAATATAACAAAACAATTCATACTAACTACAGACCGCCAGATATATTAAATAATAAAATAGACCACCCCGATATACCAGAAAAATTAGCAAAAGCACAAGAAACTATTGTAAAAAAGGAACGACAAATTAAAAGATTTGAAAACGTACAAACCTAACGAAACAATTTATGAAAAGGTAGGAGGTAAAAGAAACAAGTTAGATGTGAAATATAAAAAAAAACAGAAAATAAAAGAAGAACTAGGGAAGAAAGTTAAAATCCATTATAGAAACAGAGTAATACATAAAGATAATATACGAACTTAACTTTATTTGCAGTTTACAGACAATGGACCGATTAATCATTGCACTTATCACTTCATTCGGAATCGCGAAAACAGAAATAATTGACTACACGAGAGAAGATTACGTACTAGTAGACAACGGCGACGCAGTAATTTACGAAAACTTTGGTGACATTTTTCATATAACAAACTTAACATACATATTTTAAGGGATTAGTAGAAGTAACCAGAAATGAAAATAACGAAGACATCGTTGTTAGATTGGAAACGCAAAATAATAAATCTACGACACATATTGACAGTTATAGCTAAATCTGATAGACACGATATTATCACAATTACAAAAGACTAATCATAGAAGAAAAAGAGGAATTAACGAACTAGGCATACTTTGGAAATGGATAGCAGGGTCCCCAGTTCATGTTGATCTGGTAACTATTAATAACAAATTAAACGAATTAGCAGAGAGCAATAACAAACAACTAACAACCAACTCACAAATATTTAAAGCTATATTTAGTATGTAAAAGATGATTCAAAATTTAGAAAACGGTTTGCGCAAGACAAAAGTAACGAAACAAACAAACAGACTAATACTAACTGAACTACAGAACTACCTATTACAAACAGTCACACTAGCTAAGGCAGGTATATTAAACACAGCGATACTAGATTTAAAAGAAATCCAAGACATAATCAAACATGAGAATACCAGAGTCACCCTAACAGATTTGATGGACGTATCTAAATTCAAAATTTTACAAAACTCAGATTTAATAATGGTACATATTACATATCCTATAATCAAAACTAATTGTAAACTATATGAAAATAGAGCTATAAGCAAAAAAGATGGCAAATTTTCAATTGAAAAAGAAGTTGTAAGATGAAATAAGATATTTCAAAATGTTCAAATGTGTAAGATAGAACTAAGTAATAGTTTTTGTAAACTATCCTTAAATGAGAGCTACTTAACAAACCTATTAAATCACTGTAAATCATCATGCACTAAAATAAAAGAAAAGAATAAGAATCTAGAAATAATAAAAGATGGTGCCATACTAGTCTCAGGCAATCACGAAGTTGACGAACACACCCTAGAAGGAGTATACCTAGTTACCTTTGAGACCAATGTAACAATAGATAATAGTACATATATAAATCAAAAAACTGTAATTAATAATTATCTGAAGATGAACCATCAAAACAATTTTGAGATAATAAAGTGTATAGAAAGTCATAATGAACAACTTAAACTTGAAAACATAAACTAATTACAACAACGCGTCAAGGAACATCCTATTACCTCATCAACTGTACTCTTGGCAACAATTGTTATTATCGCGTACGGCAGTCATAAACTGAGTAGACGTATAAAACAGTCTAGACGTAAACAAAATTCTTCTTCATTCTTCAAATGAAATTTGTGAGCAACTTCAAAAACAACAGAGTTGTAAAACATCCGCTGTATAAGAGCAGTTACTTCATTTCATTTAAAGAAACGTTTCTCTTTAAGAAAGAGGGGTGTTATCTCACACTCTCACTTTGTAGGGTTAAATGTAAAACTCGAAATCATTTGTAAAAGAAAATAAGATGGATTTTAAGTTATGATCTGAGCAAGATTTGAGTAAAAAGCTTTATTTGTAAGCTCAGACTATTTGAATATAAAAGTAGGAGCATTGCTCACTTAGATTAGATTCTTGTACCGTTAGAACACAGTTACATGTAAATGCTATTTATTTAATAAATATTTTTTTAAAACTTTCCGGACTTTCCGAAAACTTCCGAAAACCGGACTTTCAATCTCATTAATTTACATATAATCAAACAGCCAAGCTTCTTTCAAGTCCTTGAGAACAATCCAAACTTTCTTCACTTACATTAAGGCTCAGAAAAAACGGTGAACTTTGTTTATTTCGTTCCTATCAAATACGCAGATTTGGTTGGTTGTGCATTTCGCTTTGAATTAATTTCTTACTTTACCTACCGTCTAGCTAAGTCTTTAAATGAAAACCCGAAACGATAATGTAAACGCTAAATCAACTTTAGCAAAGTTCGTTGACTAACGTTCGTAATGTAAACTTCGTATTACTTAAAAACAATTTTAAAAATGAGTGAATGTAATAGTATTGACAGACGAGCGCACTAAATTATCATTAAGCAGCCTTAAATGATCATTTTAAAAATACGCTGACGCTGACGGTATAAATTATCATTAAGAAGTTGCTGTATCATATGTTTTTTGTTATTGAAAAAGCAAAAGAAAGAATTTTAAATTCAAAATGGATAAGCAAGAAAAATTAAAGAACCTTGCTTTAATTAAATATAAAATACATAAAAAGAATATAAAATATATAAAAATATATCGAGTATTTACATTTACCAATGTTTCCAAATATGTTTTGTTTACATTTTGACAACCAAATAGCTTGAAATTTGTTCCATTTTTTATTTCGTTTCGCTTGCATATGCAGCATTACCATTTCTAAAAACCTAAATGACGAATAAATTGGGTTTAA